TATGTATTATACATGTTGATCATACCCCCCCTTTAATCTCCTCTTCTCAAGAGAGAATACATTCAGTTCCTCTAATCTTTCCTCATAGCTGAGCTCCTCCATGCCTCTTATCAGTTTGGTTGCCCTTCTCTGTGCTTTCTCCAGTTCCCCAATGTTCTTTTTGTGAATTGGTGCCCAAAACTGAACTGCATATTCCAGATGAGGTCTTACTAATGATTTGTACCAGGGCAATATGATATCTCTCTCTCTGGAGTCTATACCTCTTTTAATACAAGAGAGGATTTTGCTCGCTTTAGAAACCGCAGCTTGGCATTGCATGCCATTATTAAGCCTGTGATCTACCAGAACTCCCAGATCCTTCTCCACCATTGATTCCCCCAGTTGTACCCCCCCTAGTATGTATAATGCATGCATATTCTTAGCCCCCAAGTGCATCACCTTACATTTATCAACATTGAACCTCATTTGCAACATAGTTCCCAATTACACAGAGCATTGAGGTCGGCTTGTAAATTGGAGACATCCTGTAAGGACGATATTCCACTGCACAGTGTGGTGTCATCTGCAAAGACTGAAATGGGATTTATAATCCCAGACCATATATAATTTATAAATATATTAAAAAGTAAGGGTCCCAACACTGAACCTTGGGGTACACCACTGATGACCCTAGACCATTCAAAGTATGAATCATTAACCACTACTCTGAATATGATCTTTTAGCCAGTTTTCTACCCATTTACATACAGATTTTTCCAAGCCTGTAGACTTTACCTTACACATTAGACATGTGTGGGGAACTGTGTCAAGCGCTTTTGCAAAATCCAAGTATACCACGTCCACCGCCACCCCTCTGTCCAAGTATACCACGTCCACCGCCACCCCTCTCTCCAAGTATACCACATCCACCTCCACCCCTCTGTCCAAGTATACCACGTCCACAGCCACCCCTCTGTCCAACTATACCACGTCCACCACCACCCCTCTTTCCAAGTATACCACGTCCATCGCCACCCTTCTGTCCAAGTATACCACATTCACCGCCACCCCTCTGTCCAAGTATACCACATCCACCGCCACCCCTCTGTCCAAGTATACCATGTCCACCGCCAACCCTCTGTCCAAGTATACCACGTCCACAGCCACCCCTCTGTCCAAGTATACCACGTCCACCACCACCCCTCTGTCCAAGGTTTTGCTCACCCCCTCATAAAAAGAAATCAAATTTGTTTGACAACTTCTGTCTTTCATGAATCCATGCTGTCTGTTGCTTAAAATTTTTTTTTTCCTGCAAGAACTCCTCTATGTGGTCTTTTATTAAACTCTCCAGTATCTTCCCAACTATATAAGTTAAACTAACAGGTTTGTATTTACTTGGTAAAGAGTTTGGCCCCTTTTTCAATATTGGCACCACATTGGCCTTACGCCAATCCAGTGGTACTATGCCAGTCATTAAAGAGTCCCTAAAAATGATAAACAATGGCTTGAAATGACAGAGCTCAATTCTTTAAGGACCCGTGGGTGTATGCCATCTGGTCCAGGGGCTTTATTCACCTTTATTCTGTCTAAATATTTCTGTTTCATATCAATTGTGAGCCAATGTGGATCATCTGGAGCTGTGTCAATACAATGCCCATTATGGACAAGAGCTCCCCCCATGGTCCTTTGTATACACAGAGCTGAAGAAGGTATTTAATAAATTTGCCTTCTCTTTGTCCCCAGTCACCCACTCTAGATTATTTTGAAAAAGTGATACACTAAGACTAGGTTCACACAAATGTGGGAATGCTGCGATCCATGTGTGTTACCCGCACCACATTCAAATCGCACTGCCCTTGCAATCTGCTGCGGGTGTCAGTACAAAGTTTACAACACCCCATACACAGGACACAAACACAGTGCGTTTGCCTGCACTAGATCTCATCAGAGCGCATGGTACAAAATGACCATGCAGTACGGTTGCAGTGGGGGCCCAAAGAAGGTGCATGCATGTCTTTGGTGTGATTTGGTTCAGTTTGAGCCTATTCATAATAAATAGACTCAAATTGCACCACACTGAATCATATGTGAATCGCACAGAAATGCGGTGCAGTTCATGTGCGATTCATAGGCGGTTCATTGTGTGAACTGAGGCTAAATGTCCAAGAGTGTGTACAGTAGGCACGCCTCTAAATGAAAGAGTTGAGGTGTTTCCGGCAAAGGGTACTGTTGATGCTGAACCATACAAAGATATTTTACACAACTGTGCTCTTCAAACCTTGTGATAACAATTTGGGAAAGACCCTTTTGTGTTCCAACATGATGGTGCCCCAGTGTACAAAGCTAGCTCCATAAAGGCATTGTTTGAGTATGATGTGCCCTGACCTTAACCCTACTGAACACCTTTGGGATAATTGAAATTGTAATCCACATCTTCTCATCCAACATCAGTACCTGATTTCACAAATGTTCTTTTGAGCACAGATTCCCATAGACCTCCTCCAAAATCTTGTGGAAAGCTCTCCCTGAACAATGGAAGCTGTTTTAGCCGCAAAAGGGGACCAACTCCATATTAATGGCCATGGTTTTGGAATGGGATGTCCAGTGAGCTCATATAAGTGTGATGGCCAGTTGTCCACAAACTTTTGGCCATAGTGTATTTCATTCTGAGAGGTGGCGTATGGGTGGTGGAGTTACCCTTTGGTGTCTTATTTGTCTTGCAGGTTACAGATTATATTCTATGCCAGCACACCTTCCTTGTATTCAGAGTGATTTATTAGAACTCCAGTTATAATAGCCAATGTTTTGGGACTGTGCGTGGTCCCTTTTTCAAGACATTATATGGGCTACAGTGAGATCTATCTGCTATAGTTTCTGGTTTTGTTTTCAACTGCCCTGGACTTCCGTGTTCTTCTACTGTCTCATTGGCCAAATTATTTAAATGGACAAATATAAAATATGAATAAATTGTAGCACTACTCCTTTAGAAGTTGCAATAGATTTGGGTCCCCCTATAGTCTTGCACAGCCAGGCAACATGCATTTTCATTCAGACTTGCATCCAGGAGAAAGTAACTAGTCCTTGAGCTTGTTTTGATGTTTTATTAGAGGGTAATAAAACTTGGATGGGGTAAGAGGTGTACATGATGCTAAATGGAACTGGAACCAAGGACAAACTTCCTGAAACTATGTACATGCCTTTACAGCAAAAGATCCTTCTCTGGAGAGCTAGCCAGCCTCTCCTGATGTACCACCGCAGACCCCAGATTCTCCTTAATCCAGCAACTCTGGATGAATTCCTGGGCAGGGGATCCAGTACCTGCCACTACAGTGTTAACAGTCCTGGGTAAAAAGCTAATTCAGATTCCCACCAGAGTGCTCCTTTCACCTTATTGGCCCCGGGAGTGCAGGTTTACTCACTTGGACCCTCTCCTGTGCTGTCGGTGGGTTGGTGGCTGCTACTAGGCCTTCTAGCTGGGCTGCTTCTTCCCTGCCACACAGGTGGTCCTCTCTCAGGGGGGGCAGTGAAGTCCCAAGCTTTCAGCCTTCCAAGTTCCTCTGCCTGCAGGTGAGCCCCTCTCCATCTGGGCCCCCTCACAGACTCCTGCCTCCAGTCTCAGATCCTCTCTCTCCCTCTCCAACCACCACTCTCCTCCTCCCCTGCTGAGCATGCTCAGTTACTCTTGAAGGTTGTCCTGGCCCCTTGCCAAGCCTCCTGTTGGGGATTAGCAAGGATCCTCCAAGAGTACAAACCAGCTACTCCTCAGATCTGCCCACTGCTTCTAGACCTTTCTGCAAAGTTCTAGAGCCGGGAGAAATTCCAGAGGGCTGGTCTGCAGAGCTTCTCAGCACTGACCGAAATTTTACCCATGCTAGCTATTACTCCCAGTCTGCTAGCCAGCCCTAGCTAACAATTGGAGTTTAGCTCCCCCTTGCTAACTAGGAGGGTGCTACAAAATGAAAGCCACAATATAGCAATTCAATCTCATAACAAGTATCTTCAATCCAGTATATTCACTGCACACTCAGTGTGAATTGTGCTGAAAACTGGCACGTCAGTGGTTTGTAACTCCTCTACCACACATAAACATCAGCCTCTTACCAGAAATGTAGGCCGCAAATTATAGGAGGTCTAATGGCTCTTAATCAAAAAGCCTCATGCACCTTGTACTCCCAAATGGACCAAGTATATGGGAATTACGGGCCTCTCCAGCAGGGAATGTGCTGCAGACAGATAAAAAATGGGTCACAACCACACAGTGTAAGACCACATACACTAGTTTATTCACATTAAAAAAATACTCACATTGTAGATGTACAAACAGAGCAGTGTATCACCAGACCAACAGCCGGTCCCAGAGTTTTATGACATCAGCCATAGGCCCACCCTGACATGTTTCGTCATAGGCAGACATTCTTAAAACACCACTCTTTGTCTTGCATTTTCCTTAATAAATTCCAGGTATGAGTATTTTTACATAGTTACCTGGGTTCAGTTTGGCATGGTGATATCATGCTCCCCACCTTGTCCAGTCAGAGAATGCTTTGCAGCTATTAAGAAAACGCAAAGCATTCTCTGGTTCCTGTTCTATTACAGCAGCTCAGCAGCTCGGCACAGGAATCGGAAGCTGATGGAGATCTCTGGAGTAGTGCTCTCTACTACGGTGATTTCCAGCTCCTGGAGACAAAACATGGGGAACTGTGCATGTATTGCAGAGATGTACTGATGACTAATTTTTTTTATTTTTGTTCTAACATATGTACACTTTTTTAAGTACATTTAAAGGTTTTGTTCACTCCCTTGGTTCTAAATCTGACTGCTTCAAGGCTGCAGTACTCTAATTTCCATTCTTGTCCTACTACATAGTGAATTACTGACATGAAACACAATTTGAGTCAGTTAAAGGAACCCTTTGTAATGGCTGCAGTGAATATGCTGGGCTGAGAGATAGAGACATACTCACCAACATCTACGAAAACAAAAATTGTTAATGATAAATATATTCTTTTTTTCCTTTACAGGTCCTTGGAGAGGTGTCCTTGTCCCACAAAGCTGTGCAGACAGTAGACGCTGCCCCTAGTGGCCAGGCTATGGCAGTAGCAGGAGTTGGCGGAAATCTTCACATCGCGGAGCTCTGCTGACCTGAAAGATAGGACGATTGTCAAGGCCATAATGACTAAAGATGTAGAGTAGATAGTTTTTTGGAAATGATTCAGAAAAATGTAATTTCATGTAAGCAGGTTCACTAACTTTATTGTCTAATGTAGTTGCATGTATCAGTCCTTTAAAGTGTTAATAGGTTGCATTCCTATGCATTTTTTCTTTGTAATGTATCCAGTAAATACAGAAATGGTTAAGCCTCTGTTGTATAAGCATTTGGTTTTATTCCACTGCATTACATTTTTGGCTCGCTCCACAGAAGATGTTGAGTGAGGAACATTGATTCTTGGCTCCAGTAGAAGAACTAGAGCTATAATCAAACACACTGGTATACTGGGAGCCAAGAATTCAATGTAGGACATCCTGGAGAAGGGATACCATACCGCTGCATAGGGCTCTATAGTGCGAGGGTCCTGTTGGGACAATTCAGCCAGTAGATGGTTAGAAAGGGAAAGGTTTTCTCTTCTACCGCTCATCATCCGCATGGAGAAAAGAATGCCTGGTCTGCTTTTGTTTGCTCCAGGCTAGTCACCCAAGTAATGGAGCCAGGATGCTAGCCCTGAAGCTTCCACTGAGACGAGTCATAAAATGTTTGTAGTTTCAGGGACAGGGTAAGCATAACTGGTAGGTTTCATGGACAAAATAAGTGTAAGGGTTGGGTTTCAGCATCAAGTTAAAGTAGAGCTCCAGTCAAAATCTAAAGGAATAAAAGCAGCTACAAAAACTGTAGCAACTGACTTTTAAAAAAAACAGACACTCACCTGTTCCACGATCTAGAGGTGTCCTCACTGCAGCCGGTTTCAATGGCTGTCCTCTCTCCCTGACATCGGAATCTTCAGTGTGGACAGCTGGCTGCGACAGTTTGCAGCTTCACAGTCGTGTGCCCACTGTGCATGCACATGTAGTGTTGCGCCTTGTGAATGGTCCTGTAGTCTCCTGGGATCTGCCACGTGTCCCAGAAGACTACAAGGGAGGACAACCTCCACTTCCAATCACCGAGGCAATCACAGCAGGACGTGTACCTGATTGTGACGGATACCTGCTCCCCCCTGCTCCCCAAAGGTGCCAATCCTTAACTGGGAGTGGGGAGCAAGTCCTCAAACTTCCGCTTTTGGGTGGATCTCTGCTTTAAATGTCAGGTAAAATTTTCTAGAACAAATTACATGTAAGGGTTGCTTTTCAGGGTCATGTTAGGTATATGGGATAAGTTTTAGGGTCCAGTTAAGTATAAAAATTAGGTTTTATGGACAGATTAGGTGTAAGGGTTGGGTTACGTGTAAAGGTTAGGTTTCTGGGACAAGCACAGGGTTGAGTTTTAGGGTCATGTTAAGAGTGAGGGTTAGGTTTCAGGGTCAGATTAAGTGTAAGAGTCAGGTTTTTGGGGCTAGTTATGTGTAAGGGTTGGTTTGTAAGGCCAGTTTAGGTTTAAAGGTTAGTTTCAGGTATGGTTAAAAGTAAGAATTAGGTTTTAGGGTTAGGTTTAAGCTTAGGTTAAATTGGCAGATTAGGTTTAAGTGCTAGGTTTCAGGGTCAAGTCACGTGTAAGGGTTAGGTTTCAGGGTCAAGTCAAGTGTAAGGGTTAGGTTTCAGGGTCAAGTCAAGTGTAAGGGTTAGGTTTCAGGGTCAAGTCAAGTGTAAGGGTTAGGTATCAGGGTTGAGTTAAGTATAAAGGTTAGGTTTCTGGGACAAATTACATATAGGGGTTGAGTTTTAGGGTCAAATTAAGAGTAAAGGTAAGGTTTCAGGGCCAGGTTAAGTGCAAGAGTTAGGTTTCAGGGTTGAGTTTTAGGGTCAAGTTAGGAGTAAAGGTAAGGTTTAAGGTTTCAGGGCCAGGTTAAGTGCAAGAGTTAGGTTTCAGGGTTGCGTTTTAGGGTCAAGTTAAGACTAAAGATAAGGTTTCAGGGTCAGGTTAAGTGCAAGAGTTAGGTTTCAGAGAAAAATTACATGTAAGGGTTGGTTTTCAGAGTCAGGCTAGGTGTGAGGGTTAGGTTTTAGGGTTTGGTTTAGTGTAAAGAATTTGGTTTTAGGGTCATGTCTAAGCTTAAGGGTTAGGTTTAATAGACAAATTAAATGTAAGGGTTGTGTTTCAGGGTCAAGTTAAGTGTATAGATTAGGTTTCAGATCAGGTTAAGTGTAAGGGTTAGGTTTCCCCAACAATTTCCATGTAAGGGTTGGTTTACAGAGTCAAGTTGGGCTAGGATTCATTGGCAGATTAGGTTTAAGTGCTAGGTTTCAGGGTCAGGTCAAGTGTAAGGGTTAGGTTTCTGGGTCAAGATAAGTGTAAGGGTTAGATTTCAGGGTTGAGTTAAGTATAAAGGTTAGGTTTCTGGGAGAAATTACATATAGGGGTTGAGTTTTAGGGTCAAGTTAAGAGTAAACGTTAGGTTTCAGTGTCAGGTTAAGTGTAAGATTTAGGTTTAATTTTAAAGGTTAGGTTTCATAGACAGATTAGGTGTAAGGGTTAGGATACAGGGTCAAGTTTAGCAGGCTTTCAGTGTCAGTTGGTGGAAGGGTTAGTTTTCAGGGCCAGTTGGTGTAAGGGTTAGTTTTCAGGGTCAGATTAGGTGGAATGGTTAGTTTTCAGGGCCAGGTTGGTGTAAGGGTTAGTTTTCAGGGTCAGGTTAGGTGGAATGGTTAGTTTTCAGGAACCAGGTTGGTGTAAGGGTTAGTTTTCAGGGTCAGGTTAGGTGGAAGGGTTAGTTTTCAGGGCCAGGTTTTCAGGGTGTTAGGTGGAAGGGTTAGTTTTCAGGGTCAGGTTAAGTGTAAGGGTTAGGTTTTTTGGTCGTTATGTGTTAAAGAGTATGTAAACACTAACAATAAACTTCTCTTATGTAGCCAGGTACTAGACTACAGAAACAAGGAGAAGGACACATTTCGCTCTTAACAATCAGTCAATCAGTTTACTTTCACTTTCTGTTATGTTGAATGTGTTGTTGCATTATCCCCTCCAGTCAGCAGAGGGAGAACTATAGCCTAATCCTAGCAAAATGCTGAAGATCATGGGATTTTACTTCCGGGAAAGTAGCCATAGAATGGGACTCATGGACCCTTTACACTGCAGTCCCCATGATCACTAAGGCAGAGGGGTGTGGTGGAATAGTTTTTTTCTCTTGGGTCCAAGGGAACTAATTGGAGCACATCTGCTGCCTACTGAGCAGACTACTGAGAGACCAGACCAGTGGAGACACCTGAGGAACTGTTGTTGCAGAGAGACCAGAGCAGTTTCTCTACTTCCCACCACTGAATCTTTGGAGGTATACTGTGGAGAGACTGAGGGGGCCCCCCTTCCTACAGCGAGAGTTTGCAGCTACACCACAAGGACTGGTGATAAGGCATTACCTATTGTTCACACTACTAGCAGGGTTACTGGAGGCAGTACATGAAGAGTACCTATACTGCACCTGTACCACATGTATACCACAACTTTACTGCATCTTTTATGCACCTATACCGCATGCTGGTTTAGTTAAAACTGTCTTTAAGTGCACCAATGCTTCTTAAAGGGCCCCAACGATAGCTGGCAGAAGAACAACATAAAGAACTGCCCTTCCCGAAAAACCATCCTGCAAGTCCTCTTTGCTCCTTTCTCCTTCATTTCTATGGACAGTGCACACCCAGTTGGTCTAGGCCTAGGATAGCTGCCATCAATGCACTTTGGCAGTATAGTTTCTGTGTTTGGTAAATCAAGCTTTACTACTGTCCACAGCTACACTTTAGATGACCTTGCTACTGTTTATTCTGATCTGGACGCCAAGTATCATCCTATGCTCAGTCCTTTTTACTAGTCACCCTGTGCTAAACTGGTTAATACTTTTGTTAATCCATTTAAATGCTTTCCTAGTTACCAACCATATCAGGTGACAATATATTAAGTTGCCTTTACTAACTGGCTCAGTGCCTGTTTTCTTTCACGTACTACTACTAACCAGATATTACTTTCAGTGATTTTCTGTGATATTGCCTGCTTTATACACTCAGCTAGTGTGTCAGAGGAGCTGAAGTTCAAGGTCAAGACAAAGACCAGAGGACCCATCCCAACCAGCAGCTCCTAGGGGGGTAGCGCTGCACTTATTTGTTCCCTTTTGACCTGTTAAGTATATCATTGAACGTGTGTTGTTATATCCATTCAGAAGATGCAGAAAAGCATCCGTTGACCCTGCCAGAAATCTAGTGAACTGATAACCTCCTGTATTCTCTACCTGTACTTCATTTATATCAGTAAGTGTTACTAGCTCTCTCTGTGGACTACAGACCACCCCATGTTAAGGAGATGAGTTGAGTACTGAACAACGGACACCTCTTCCTCTCCTCCTGTCCAAAAGTTAAAGGTATTCTGTATTTCACAGAACTGGTTGTAGCCGATAACATTGTATGAGATCCCAGTTCAGTACACAGGAAGAAAAAAAGACACTGGAATTTTACTGAGATAAATAGGTTTTTGGGGGCTTGCTGAAAAGGTTCTTAGTCTGAAAAAAAAAAACGTAATGCGGCCACCACACCGAAGAATCGATAAGTTGCAATATATTCTTTTTTGTTCTTCAGTTTAGATACTGTTAGATTTCAGAGTCACAAAGCACAGCACAAATGTTATCATTGTCCTGTTTTATGAATGATACAGCAGAGTGAGGGGGCAGAGGCACAACACCGGAACCCATGTTGATCATAGACACTGTTTTAATGTAGCAGAAGCAGGGGTGGACGGACCATTTGGAAATTCGGGCACTGCCCGAAGGCCCTGGGTCAGTAGGGGGCCCCATGAGATGCCCCTGGTAGCTTTTTTTTATAGGCTTTTTTGAGTTTGAGCAAGGACACAGGGGCCCCATGATCCCCTATTGCCCGGGGGGGCCCATGAGTTGTCAGTCTGCCCCTGAGCAGAAGTATTGTATCCATCTAATGCGGTTTAGTTTTCTCATTCAGGTATTTCAGAAAACTATACTGCATTTTGGCCACTAGATGGAGCTGATGATACAGGCATTAATCTCTTAGGAAAAATATGGGACATTTCCTTCAACTTGCACAAATACATTTGAATGAATGTTTCAGAAAGGTCTAGTTTACACAGGATGATTAGCTTCATACCCCATGCAAGGCCATCGTTTACTGGCATGGGGATGCAAAGGTCTATTGGGACATGCAGCTGCATGGACACAGCTGTTGTGTCCCAATAGGACATATGGGTGCATGCATGTGTGGGTCCTCAAACATATACAGGGTGAGTTCTGTGACCTGCACCCGCATGTTATATTGGGACACAGCGGATGTGTCCATGGACGGAAAGGTTTCTTCACAGTGAGAGCTGTGAAAATGTGGAATAGACTCCCTCAAGAGTTGGTTCTGGCCAGCTCAGTTGATTGCTTTAAAAAAGTCCTGGATTCTTTCCTAGATACAGAGAATATAACTGGATATAACATTTATAGGTAAAGTTGATCCAGGGAATATCCTATTGCCTCTCGGGGGATCAGGAAGGATTTTTTTTCCCCAGCAGGAGCAAATTGGTTCATGCTTTGCTGGGTTTTTTTTGGCTTCCTCTGGATCAACTGTGGGTGTAAGATTATAACTTTTTTTTTTTCTCTGGTTGAGCTGGATGGACTTTTGTCTTTTTTCAGCCAGACTAACTATGTAACAATGGGACACCGGGACAGGTATGCACACAACCAGGGGCGGACTGACCATTTGGAAACTCGGGTACTGCCCGAGGGCCCAGGGTCAGTAGGGGGCCCCATGAGATGCCCCTGGTACCTTTTTCATAGGCTTTTTTGAGTTTGGGCAAGGATACAGGGGCCCCATGATCCCCTATTGCCCGGGGGTCCCATGACTTCTCAGTCTGCCCCTGCACACAACACTTTGTGCATCCCTGCCCCAATAAAAGATATAACTACACGGGGCATGCCCTGTAAAAATGGGGCAAAGTACACCCCACAGATGGTTCAAATCATCCTAGATGCAAAGCATGTATGGACAGGCTGAATGTACCTAAGTTGATTGCTCAATCAATTTTCCATACGATTATCACTAGTGGCTGCTATCGATAATCACTTTCTTCTCTCGGTGGGGATGGACGCCCCCCCCCCCCCCACTGGAAGAATACAATGGCTCGACGTAAGAGAATCCCCTGTCCACACTAACTGTGTTGATTGGAGAATCTAACCTATGGTTGCAGGAAAGAAAGTTGATCCGTGTATGGCCTTGCCTAAGTGTTCACCGCTGAGAAGTCTTCACTTATTCTCACAAAGGAGGAAGGAGAATTTCTTGAATAAAAGGATTCTTTGGAGGTACGGTCTCCTAATCTCTGATATTTATCTTCCAAATGATAATTCCAATCTTCCAAATAATCTGGTCACCATGCCTTTACATGTTCAGTGTGAATGGGAACAATGACCTCATATTACCAGGCATCTTTTCCCCTTTTTGCTGTTTTTTCTGTGTCCGCTGAGTCGACTTGGCAGCCGATGAGTAAATCTGTCTCTTAGTGTAGTCTTTAATCCTCCGCCAGCTTCACATACAACAGTCCGCTATGACCTGGGCAATGTACAACGCCGATTCATGTGATACATAACCCACCCCCTCTTTGATATGAGTATTTCCCATGAAAGATCTGTAAATAATGAAGAGACAATACACGGGATAAGACGGCGACCCTCCGAGAATCATGGGAAAGAAAACACAGTTTGACGGGATCAGATAAGATCTCTCAGTGTATAACTTCAATACTGCGTGTTTATTTCCAAAGATGCCACTAACATGTTCTGTACAGCATTGATAACACAGCGACAACATTTATTATGGCACCTAATTATTATTTTTGCAGGACGGCTTTTACACTTCATGTTCATAATGTCCGCTAAACCAAGATAGTATTGTATGGTTCTGGGAGGTATGAGGATGGGTTACTAGGAAAACAAACAGCATTTCGGGGACAAAGCAGGCTTTTTTTCTATTGGTATTGGCTTCCAAGAATTGCTTAATTTATATATATATATATATATATATATTATTATTTATTTCAGGTACCTTTATAGCGCCGTCAATTTACGCAGCACTTTACATATATAGTGTACATTCAAATCAGTCCCTAACCCTCAAGGGGTGTACAATCTAAGGTCCCTAACTCACATTCATACACATACTAGGGACAATTTAGACAGGAGCCAATTCACCTACCAGCATGTCTTTGGGTTTTTTTTATATAATATATATATATATATATATATATATATATATGACAAAAAGAGGTTAAGGAATATGTATGTTTAAAGGACGAAAATAAGTTAAGGAATATAAAAAAATCTGTATTTCCATTTTAACCAATCAGGCATAACCAAGAACTATGGGCCCCATAGCAGAGTTGTAATGGATCCCCCAGCTAACTCTCCTGGCATTGTCAACTGTGTCAATGTTTTGCCAAGTAAAGTGCATTTACATTAGCTCTGTGTGAATGAGGAAAAATAAAATAATTGTTATTAGGGTATTTCTTATGCTGGTCAAATGTTTTTCATTGATTTAAATAGAAAAATATCACATTTGGCCACTAGATGGTGCTAAGTTCTTATGATACTTTGTGCCATTTTCATTGGTGATACCTAGCACCATCTAGTGGCGAATTGTGGTATTTCCATTTTACATCAATGGTAAACATTCTACCAGCACAGGAAATGCTTTAGATGCGGGAAAGTTATTTACAAAGAAAATAAATTAATATTTATTATTTTCTATTATGTAGCAATACAACAAAGAAATGTAAAAAAAAAATGTTTAAAGAAATAACAGAGTGGGGAATTAGTTTAGGATAGCATGACACCTGTCATTTTAATTTTTGCTGTATGTGTCCTGTTGGGGAGGTTCCTCTCCACTTCCTGTTCCAAAGGTGCAACAGGAAAAGATAGTAAATCTTTACAAGGTAAGGGGAACGGATCTCTTGAACAGTTGTTACAGATCAGGTCTTTCTGACGTGATAGGACATGCCTGGTAACCCGTATGTGTTCAACTGAACTACTGCAAAGTATACTTTGAACCTAGGTGTACCTAGCATGTCCTACCAGGATGGCAGGACTTTATGACATGAACTGTATTACAAGGATCATTGGTGTGGCGGCAGTATATTGTGCTCACTAGAGCACCTGACTGGTACTAAATACACATTGTAGTAGTTCATTTGAGCTCACAGGAGGACGTATCTACAAGCATGTTCTAACACTGGCACTAGGACTTTATGAATTGGACTTTAGCATGACAAGGATCCATATGACAACTATCCATGGTGTGCTGGCAATATGTAATATTTTGTTCACTAGAGTACCTGATTGGTACTAAATACCCATTGTAGTAGTTCAGATGAGCTCACAGGACGTATCTAGCATGTCCTAACATGGCAGTAGGACTTTATGACTTGGACTTTATGACAACTATCCATGGTGTGCTGGCAATATGTAATATTTTGTTCACTAGAGTACCTGATTGGTACTAAATAGAGTAGTTCAGATGAGCTCACGGGACGTTGCATGTCCTAACTCACAGGACTGTACTAGAGTACCTGACTCTAGTAGTTCAGATGAGCTGCTGTCCTAACATGGCAGTAGGACTTTATGACTTGGACTTTATGACAAGGATCCATGGTGTGCTGGCAATGTGTAATATTTTGCTCACTAGAGTACCTGACTGGTACTAAATACACATTGTAGTAGTTCAGATGAGCTCACAGGACGTATCTAGCATGTCCTAACATGGCAGTAGGACTTTATGAATTGGACTTTATGACAAGGATCCATGGTGTGCTGGCATGTAATGTATGTTCAATATTTTAGTTCACTAGAGTACCTGATTGGTACTAAATACACATTGTAGTAGTTCAGATGAGCTCACAGGACATATCTAGCATGTCCTAACATGGCAGTACGACTTTATGACTTGGACTTTATGACAAGGATCCATGGTGTGCTGGCAATATGTAATATTTTGCTCATTAGAGTACCTGACTGGTACTAAATACACATTGTAGTAGTTTAGCTGAGCTCACAGGACGTATCTAGCATGTCCTAACATGGCAGTACGACTTTATGATAAGGATCCATAGTGTGCTGGCAACATATTTTTCTCACTAGAGTACCTTTAATGCGTGTTAAAGTCAAAGCAAGTGTACACAAGCCCTTTGGTGTATATAACTCTGACAGAGCTGTGGTGACCTGAAGGAGTTGGGAAAGTAATAGTAATGTATCAAATATCAGTTCCAGGAACCTAAAGATACATTTAGTCACAGACTTGTTTCAAAGTTGTTATGCAAATCTTATACATGAGACTAAGCCCCAGGGGCGGACTGACAACTCATGGGCCCTTGGGCACTAGGGGATCATGGGGCCCCTGTGTCCTTGCCCAAACTCAAAAAAGCCTATGAAAAAGGTACCAGGGGCATCTCATGGGGCCCCCCTACTGACCCCGGGCCCTCAGGCAGTGCCCGAGTTTCCAGATGGTCATTCCGCCCCTGCTAAGCCCTGGTTCACACTGATGTGACTTCTCATGTGATTTGACCGCTAAAATTGCATGAAAAATCGCATCCAATGATCTGCAATGGAACCGTTGCAGATCATTGGAGTCTCACTGATTTGAAAAGTACGGTAGTTCCTGCACTACTTGTACCAATTTTGGGTGCAACTTGCACAGACATCTGCACATGAAGTTGCACAGATGTCTGCAAGTCACACCCATTTACATGCGACTTTGAAATCATGTGACTTCAGGTGAAGTTGCATGATTACTAATTTGCATGCAGTGTGAACGGGGGCTTAATCAACAATTTACTCTGGCATGGAAGAGGTCCAATGACCTCACTTTCCTTATCACCATTATGGTGATGTTTCCTTATGATGATGTCACAAATAAGAACTACTTGAATTTATCTCAAACCAACAAGGAAAATATTGTGGAGTTTTCATGAATTTGGTGCAAGTCGTCCGACTACAAACCGCCAGAAATGTGTTGCAAATGCCTTATTGAATCACCCTCAATTGGTGTTACAGTTAAGATAGAGGAGCAGGAGGTGTCAGTCAAACATGGAAGCCATTGATTGTACAAGGGTTCTTCAAAACGTTTCCGCACTTTTTGAAACTAAATTATATGTATAAAAGTGCGGGAAATTTTTTAAGACCCCTCGTAGCAAAGCTGTGTGGAAAAATAACAAAGAGTTACAGATAAGAGGCCAGCAGCCTATTCATATTAAAAGTATGGGCAGCACAGTGGCTAAGTAGTTAGCACTTCCACCTAGCCGGATTAGGGTCATCGTTCGAATATCAACCACGGCACTAACTGCCTGGAGTTTGCATGTTCTCCCTGTGCCTGCGTTTTTTTCCTCTGGGTACTCCGGTTTCCTCCCACACTCCAAAGACATGCTGGTCCTATCTAAATTGGCCCTAGTATGTGTATGTATGAATGTGAGTTAGGGACCTTAGACTGTACGCCCCTTGAGGGCAGGGACTAATGTGAATGTACAGTATAGATGTGAAGTGCTGTGTACAGGGGCGGACTGACAACTCATGGGGCCCCCGGGCAATAGGGGTATATTGGTCCTATATACAGTATGTACCCATAAGAAACGGATTTTCTTTCAGTGAAATCTCATTTCCTTGTTTGACCACTAGATGGCTCACATCACCCAAAAGGAAAGTTTTAGTTATAAAATAAAATAAGATTTGCCAAAACTTTTTTTTATTTTAGGTATAAGTGGAGCCTGATGGGCTGAGGCAGTCCCTGGCTTAGTATACAGTTTGTCTTGGGTACGCCACGGCCATAATTCCCGACTCGGTAAATGTCCTCCTGGACCTT